CCAAAAACCCCCCCCCCCCCCCCCCACGATCCTGAAGACTTCAAAAACCTTGCAAGAACGGAAACGGAAAATTCCCCGATATAAGGAACATAAGCCTGGACTGATCAGCTTTCCCACGTTCCGTACGCTCTCCGCGAGCGAAGGTCGAGAACCTCTGCAGTGCCAGCACTGCAGATGACTGTTTCACCAGGTTTCACGCCCTCTACGCATCTCAACCCAATCACTACCAACTGTGCAACTCGAACCCTCAGATCCAAATGACCTTAGTCCCTAACTTCCCGACTAAGTCCTCAACCAGAGAAGACCTCAAATTCTAATCCCTGCTCATCGCTGATCCCTGCTCCAGATAGTGACTCTTGAAACCTGGCGCCACCTCAAACCCTGAATAACTCCAATCCGATATCAGGCGTATGTCTTAAGGTACATAGCCCGAACAGAAAGCACAATGGAAGAGAACAAGAAAACAAACAGCAGCAGACGAGTACGTTCGCGAAGCAGCTCGCCGGAAGTCCTAACATCAACACATACACTGCCGCGGAACGACATCGGGAGCTGAGCCCGGTGGTCACAGCTCTGCAGAAAGACACACAGAGAAAGATTATAAACCTGCAACAACGAACCCTCACAGCACAAGCCCGACGCCGAGCAACCCCCCCTTAGCCCCCCCCCCCCAACAGCACCATCCACCCGGAAGCAAAAAGCCACACCGGCCTGGACTGCTCCGCCTTCCCGCATTCCGGACGCTCTCGGCGAGCGATGGTCGAGAACCTGCAGAGTGCCTAAACCTTGAACATCAAAATCCGGAAACCTGAACAGACACAAAACGGTACACACCAAGGACAAAAATCAACATCGGCCTGGACTGCTCCGTTTTTGCACATGCCGGACGCTCTCTGCCAGCGGAGGTCGAGATCCTCTGCAGTGCCAGCATTGCAGATTACAATGTTCCGGTGCACCACTCTCAGACACGCGATGTAGCCAGTAGAGGGCTTTACGTAGGTCTGTGGGATCTCTTCACCCGAGCCTCCCCCTCGGCCGGAGACGCCGTGCAAATGAAGTGCCACCTGTCAGGGGCTTATTTGCCGGACAAACTCAACCTGAAACTCGCAGCGATGAAACCTTACCAGTAGGTCACCAAATCCCTGCACTTCAAACCCAACGACCCATGGGACCCGTGTCCGAGGGTTGAAGTAAACCTTAAAGGAGGAACTGACACTCTGCCGCGGCTGTGTATCTAGAATATAAGGTTACGGATCTTGCTGGAACCCTGCATACTTCCCTGAATGGATGTCGAAGTCTGCTCTTGGTGAGTGTTCGTACCCTAGAAGGCAGGGGTTGTCTGGTCTTGTCGGATGCACAGACTCTTTGGACTGCATAATTATGGTTTCCCAGCTGGCAAAAGATAACACCGTCGCCAGTAATCGACTCTCGCTATCTCTCTCCCTCTCTCTCTCTCTCTCTGTCTCGCCCGCTGTCGGTTCCGGGATGGGAGCGTGCGGGCTCTGTACTCAAGAATGATGATTATCACAGCAGACAAGGGAAGAAGCAACTGACAGGAGTCACACAGGCACCGCACATGGTAAGAGCGGGTAGTGGACTTTCTAAGCTTGGGCAATGGGCACGTCGCACTGCAAAGCCCTGACTCCGCACCTCGCAAGGCCCACATTCTGAATGCCCTACCGCTAGAATCGACAAAAACCGTGAAACTTACAGCCCTGCCTTACGTACTCGCTGTACCAGTGAGCCTGATCAGCGGCTTGTTGGGGTGACAAGGAAACCAACAATACTACTGAGTCATCAATATGCCACAAACCGGTAGTTTCCGATGTCGAAAGGCAGGGTAAGGACAGCTGTCTTGCGGCTGACGAGCTCAACATAGTGTGCTGGACTGGCCTGACAATTCATCATGATCACAAATACTCAACGACAACAACATGCACGATCATCGCGAAAGTGCAAGAAAACTCAGACCAAAACAAAGCAACAGACGAGATCACTTCGAAAGATAGCACCGGCGAATGCGCTTGGTGGAGTCTTCCTGGCTGTGCCCATGACCGGCAAAACCGCAGGAACCCCCGCTGCATCTTCCAGAAGCCCGACGCCGCCCTTTAATTAAGCTTTTCTTGCACAGGCTACGTAAGGTCATGTTCTCGAAGACCCTCTTCGCACCTTCGCCAGATGTCGAGGCCAGAGCACGCGATGGAGCCGAGCGCACCGGGGTCGCTCGACGGCCCTCGGGGCAAGACAGATGCGGCTTGACTTCGGGAAGGACCTGCCGGTGTGAGTGCTGGAAAACAGCTGCTGGACATGTCCTGAAACTTTGCACATGTGCTGTCCATGCACTTCAGCCCAAGTAATTAAGCATTAAGCCTGACATAACTGCAGGCGGTGTCCTGGAAGCTCGGACTCCGCGTGCGGCGATATCTTCCTTGGCTGCATAGGTTTTGGGGGGGCATGGCTCAGTGTGTTCGAGTCTCCCAGAGCTTCGTCGTGCTTCGACTCACACACTCGCTCAAGGCAGGCATAGCTTTGTGGGGCATTGGGCGTTGAGGCTTCTGAGATGTAGACTGTAGGTCCATGTAGGTGTTGGCCCGGATTCGGCTGGCCGCCCGTGATATAAATCTCATCCCACCTCTCTCTCTCTCTCTCTCTCTCTCTCTCTAGTCTAACCCTGAAAACGGTTCGGCTGACGCAGTTATTTCATTTGTAACTACAATGTCATATAACAACAACAACAACAACAACAGAGATCCGCAACAACGCCAGCACCTGATATAGCTAGACCGTAGTGGGGGCGCACCACCACCCGTCCACCAACCCCACAGCTCACCACCGCAGCATCACGACCACAGCGTAAACACAAACCCCACGCACTGTCCCTGTGTGAACTACACCTGCGCCAAACACCCGTCGACAACAACCAGCTTTTAAAGCGCTTGCGTGTTGGTTGAGCATATCGCAACAAAAGAATGAACACGTTCAGGAGCCCACATACATACTGTAGGTATTTGTGTATATATATATATATGCACAATGAAAACGCAATCCAACCAACTAACAAACAAACATGAACAAAAATGAACAATAACAAAAAAACAAACAATCAGCAAATAATCTAACCAACCAACAAACAAACAATCCCGAACCCAAAACACCTTTACAGATACCCATAAATCCATGGGCAAGGCCGGAGTCAGCAAACAAAGCCAAAAACAGCGGGGCCATAGTCAGCAAAGAACCCGGACACAAGTCAAAAACACCGCAGACGGAGTCAGAAACTCTCAAGGCCACTGTCGGAGGCACCCACACCCGAAATTGCAAACATGAACAGGTTGCCCCCTGCCCCTGGAAATGTACTACAAGAAATTGAGACACTGGTGGAGGAGTTAAGCGCAGTATTAATTAAACATCGGCCGTAGCAGATGCTTTTTTTAGAAGTGTATAACGTAGCAACAAAGGAACCTTGTAGTTTTCTGTTTATTTACTTGTTGAAAGCAGATGTAAATGATATGTTTTATAAACGGTTCGATGCTAAATTAGTAATTGGTTTACCATAGTATTTCTACATAACAAATCAATGAATAACTACATAAATTTCATAGGTCCTAGGTGGTAGTTTATAATATAAGTTATCGCGCTTGGTTTCTACTATTTTCAACTCTTGCAATGACCTCTTTCAAAGAAGTAACAAATGATCTTTGTGTTTTAGCTTTTCATTAATATCTAATTCCTACATTTGTTTCAAATTTTCTGCAGCACAAGAAATAGACGTTTTAGAACCCCTACTATATAATAGTTTTCACATTTCAATCAAGAAAATTCTTTTAATATCGTAAAATAGTCCTAGCTTGTCTGTGCAATTTCCATAAGAACAGTCATAAACCAACAAGTCAAAGCCCAACAAACTATAACCATATCCTTTCTCCATCATTCCAATTCTCAGATACATCGAAAATATATTTATAATTGAATTGTTCAGTGACTTCAAAATTTTACCATATTCTCTACATATAAAATCAGTTGTGTTGTGCTTCTCTTCTTCTTCTTCTGTTGGTTGGTAATCTTCGTTATGAAAAGTCTCCATCAGAAGCTGACTAAAAAACAATCCAAAATGACTTGAATAGCAAAGTTTTTACATGGATATTCTACATATTAAAACAATAATAAGCTTTACCATTGTCATGTATCCAAAATTTTTCGCTCTATACAAAGTCATATATATATATATACACAGAGTATATAAAACCTACTTCATGTAATATTTCATATGTCACTGGCTTAACCTTTGCTATTTCTCGCCAATTATGCAAAATATGTATGTTCACACGTACATCTGTACCTCTACGTGCGCACGTACATACACAAATGCGTATATACACACATACGAGTATACACATACATTCATACACTACATACATGCATTCACACATAGCAACAGCCTAAACTGATAAGTATCCCTCCATCCAACCAACCAAGAACCAACCAATAAACCGACCAAGAAACCAACCGAGAAACCAACCAAGAAACCAACCAAGAAACCAACCAAGGAACTAACCAAGGAACTAACCAAGAAACCAACCAAGAACCCAACCAAGAACCCAACCAAGGAACCAAGCAAGCAACCATGCAGGCGTACATACATACATACATACATACATACATACATACATACACATACATACATACATACATACATACACACATACGTACATACGTACATAGATACATACATACATACATACAT